AGGAGCAGTGGATCAGTGACAGAGACCAGCCCTGTGCACTCATTCACCCAGCCCTATGTGGCAGCTCAATAATGTGACTATTGCAGCACATTTGAGACCTTTGAGCACTCTGTTAAACAGAGAATTCCTTATAAAAGTTCACTTTAAGGCATCTGGCATATTCCATAACAGCATTACTTCAGCTTTTAAAAGAGAAATGTTACAGTTAATTAAAGAGCATGGCAAAACTCCCTGCAACGTAAGTAAAATGCTAAGCCAGGACCCTTCACTAGCATGGGCATACAACAGATGCGATGCATGTCACTTCAGGTGCTCCTGTTCTATGTGGAACAGCCCTAAAGCTTTGAAATCTGAGTAAGGTCATTCAGAGTCACCGAAAGATGTATTTGAAACATCTCGTTGCCATTCAGCCTGCTGACCGCTAGCTGTCCCCATTGCTTCACAGGAGTGAAGGACCAGGGTTGGAACTGGGACAAACATGCCTCCGAAAACAAGCGCTCCGACCCTTAGGGGACAAAAAGCAATGAAAGCTCAAAAAAATTAAAAGAAGCTCCTACAGTTCTGTAAGGCTGAGGGTAAGGAAATGGATGTGTAAGAGAAGGTCGACATCCCAAGACAGATCAACATGGAAAGCTCAGAATGCAATCTTAGCAAATCTATGGCTCTATGCCATGGCAAAGGAAAACCCTGGAGCCTCATGGAGCAGAATAGGAATAATCAAAGGGGACTGGAGCATTAGAATGTTCCTGCCTAGTCCCTGACCACAGCCAGCACATCATCATCTGCACTGTCTGAGATAAAGCCACCTTAGGAGATGTTTTCCCAACCAGTATATGGTGGCTGCTATTTCCTAACCTCAGCATATAGAAACTATTCAAATTTAGAACTAGAAACATGCATCCTAGAGGAGAAGGTGTTTTAGGGGAAAGGTGGTTTACGCTCATTTCAAACCCATGAAGTTCTTTCCTCTCTTGAGAATTTAGGACAGTTTCTCATTTCCATTCGTCTTTTGGCTTCTCAATGTGAGCCCAGAATACAGAATTGTCACTGTATTTGTTAGATCTACAAGATCTTGGATTTGGTCTCTTCACAAATCAACTTGGAGAAATCTCATTTCATATTGATAATGGGTGAGATTTATCATTACATAATAGATGCTATTGAGAAGGCAGAATAGTATCTTACAAGGCCATTAATTCCACCTTAACTGCTTTTGTAGCCTTAATGCTGCTACTCACAAAAGAATGATGGAAGACATATGAAAGTATATGCTTAATAATAAGAGGGCTTGAATTTGGATGCTATTTATTGCTTTCTGTTCAGCCTTTGTAAATCAGACCCATTATCTGCTCTGTAATATTTGCTCATAAAAATCAAAACCAAGGCAATGTCATTTCTAACGTGCCAGGCCTGAAGCACACTGCCCCAGCCAGTGAAACTGCTAATACATCATCCAAGGGCTGTTGTCACTCAAGTCAGCCATTCAGACCATCACCTACACTTCTTCATTGCTACATTACAGCAAGCAAAGATGAGAAGGGTAGGAAAGCTTGACATCACTACATCCTTCAAAATATACTTATAGGAAAGCATACTCAGGAAAGAGAGGCAGATTCCTGCTTTGTTACGCCAGGCTTCTGCTCAGGAGGAAACTCTCTCCTCCTTGGCCACCATCACTCCTGTGTGTCAAAGCATAATGCGCTAACCCAGAATGTTTGCAAAGAGCTTTATCCAGAACCACAAAATGCAATTCAGAAGTCTCAGTGGCAAAATAATATAAGAAGTAAAATGAGTTCTAAATTTCACCAAGTTGGAGAGGAAGAGTTTGGAATTCAAAATATAGTGGCAATTTCCTTTAAAATGAGCTAAAATCCCGAACCAAAACTCCTCTCAGTTTTAGTTCCATATTCTGAACTTTGCTGTATTTGGTATCAAGGTAGCGTTGGGCATCCAGTGTGCCACCAGCTACCTGCTGAAGGCCTGTGTGAAGGGAACTGAGTTTTCCACACGTGAATGTGCCGTATCAGTACACTAACTTTAAGGTTTACTCACCAACAGTAGCAGCACTGAATACTGCGCACAAACACCTCACAGATGTGACAAACGACTGAGGAAGCTTCTGAACTGTTTTCTCAGAAGCTCTGACTGAAGAATGGCACATTTATAAAGACTTGGGTACACATATAGACTGGTCTTCCCAAGATGACATCTCTTACTAATACATGCTCCTGCTATGAAGTATGAGAAGCAACTCAAATCCAAATCCCTTTATACTTTGTGTTAGAGAACCTATGAAAATATTTAGTTTAAATTAATTCTATCAGCATGTGATTGCTCACATACCCCAACAGTTAGAAAACATTTAAGTCTAAAGACTGTGGTTCAACTAATGATATAAATTAAAATCAGCCCAACTCAGAGTACTTGGGAATCCCAAAGAAGCAGTTTCCTGCTCTGTGGTCACAGAATGTGGCCAGAAGAGTGAAGTATTGACAGTTTAGTAAACATATATTGTAAAGTTCTTTCTTTTAGCAGTATGAAACAAGGAAAATAGTCTCTTTCCATGCCAATATATACACATAGTGAGTGAAAGCATCAAAAGGTATTTTTATACCATCATTACTATTTTCTTTTCTAATAATCTTGAATAAACTATTTTACTACTTTCAGCAGCTTCAGGAACCAAATTACACCACTGTAAAAAAGTGATCAGTGACTCCCATGTAACAATGGTGCAGTAAGAGGGAGAATGAACACATGGCTACGGTCTGGTCTACCCAACATTCCTTAACACTGGAGAAAGGTGGATCAGGATCCAAGCTATGCCACGAGACCCAGCCTGTCTGCAGTGTTGTGCTGGGGGTGGATGTGGCAGCAGGAAAAGTTTAGTTCACTGCAGGTGATTAGAATATTTTCCAGGCAGCAGGAGGGCTACAACTACTGTCACCATAAAGCAGCAAACGCTGCTTCTTCCTCTGGCTGATTTATTGCTACACCTGCATTCAGGGGAGGTATAGAAATGCTTAAAAGGACAAGTCCCCAACAGTTCTGAAGAGGAGGAAAGGAAATAGAAACCAAGTTACAACAAAAAGCTGTAAAGAATCTATTTCAATAGTCTGAACTTGAAAGCTAGCAAGCAACCACATTGCTCTAAATGATCAAGAAAGGGAGTGAAACACTCCAGCTTAAAAGCAAAAAAAAAAGTATGTCTAGATTATGTGGTATTTAAATCCCATTTCTTTGGGTAGCTACAGACACAGGCTGTGTAGAGACAGCTAATTCAGAATTAGACCAATATGATCCATATTGCTGATGTAGAAGAATGAAGCTGAATTAAGCTGTTCAGACACATGATGTGCTGATTACTGACTCCCCCAGCTTGGAAGGGTCTGTACCAGCAGCTATGCTAGTCACTGTGAATGGCCAGCTGTCACAGATGTGTAAACTGCAACTGAATAAGCTCCCATATGCAAGCAGAAGGAAGAGTTTCTGCCAACTTCCCCCACCTAGTGCTTTTTAAACTACCTTTCAACAATGCTGCTGGCAAAACATAATCCTCAAAACCTCACAAGAAGCAAGAAGTAAAAGAAGACAAGTTTTACCCAGTAGGAAAAACTTAACAAACACTCAGAAGAGGCAGCCTGTGCTGCTCCACTTAGCCCTGAAATGAACAGGCAGAAAAGGGGTTTCCACAACTACAGTCACAACCCATCTTGTGAGCACAGCAAAAGCATTCTCTCACAGAAGGTGTTGTCAGGTGTGGGAAGTGATTCTTTCCTCCTGAGAACCAGGAGGGACCATAAGTTTAAATGGTGCTGAAGTGCAAAAGGCTCTGAAAGACAAAATACGCCTCTGAACAAAGAAAAACCTCATTATACTTTGCACCTGTTTAAGAAAAAAAAACCCTTGTAACAAGTTGGTTCATTAATAAAGGTGCAATTAAGTATCATGTCATTAAAAGAACAGGAATGAAAACAGGAAAATCTCATTCAGGGTCAATGCTGAGGGATCTACCTCATGAAAAAAAGAAATCAACCCTTTCCCTCCTGGCTCCTGCTTATAAAGAATCTCACAGCAATTTGCTCCTTACAAACATGGGGTTGCTCCCGGAAGGTAGGAAATGGCTTGTTTTGAGCTAAAAAGCTAGGATGTGTTCCCATATTTCTAGGAAAAGATGTTGCTTATTGCAAGCAGGCAGAGCAATGAGAACAGAACAACCTTTAGGGAAAACTACCACTCATTTCAATATCACAAACAAGACACAAGCACAGGGAAAGTGACAAATTCTGCATTCTCTCAATAACAGATTCTCTTTCTGTTAACATTGGAAGGTTGAGCAGAGACACTTCAATCACTGTGGCAAGCAAGCAGCTCATGAATAGGCTTCCTAACATCAACAAGACTATTCCTATGAACAAATGCTCAAAATGACTATGAGACTTCTTGTATATCCTTTGTAATGTTAAAATCAGCAGGATTACTGTGGTTTCCAAGTGCTCTCCCACACGGACTAAGAGCTGAAGTCAAGAAGAGTGCTCATGTGAGAAACTATGTAAGAGCTGCAGTTAAAGACTGAACTGGTCCTTAGTTTTCCAGTTTAAAATAATACAGCACATTGTAACAAAAGAACTACCAGCCCAGCAGATACCAGGCTTTAACTCACTATAACCTAGGGCCTGAAGTTAGATTCTGACATGTATTCCTCAGGAAAAAACACTACTTCTGTGTGAATAGTTACTGGTTAACTGCACACACAACTCTGCTTGAAGACCACGAGATTTCAAACTACATTCAAAAGTATAGAACCAGGATGGCGCTACATAAAGGCTCTGTGAGAAAGGAAGCACTAGACCTAGCAGCAAGGTGGGGTTGCCTGCATGGTCAGCCCTTCATTTGAATGCAAATGTAATTTTGGGGCAGGCAGTTATCTGTGACATCAGGCAGGACCTTAGTAAACTGTTACCACCAGCACCTGGTAAAACCATTGTTAATCATGTGTAGTAAAGGGACATCAGGGCTAGCATGAGTCATTTATAGAGCCAGTCAGGGCTAGAAAAGAGAGAAAGAAAGAGGAGGGGAAGAGAGATCAAACACACTGTGAGGAGCAGGATGTCCCAGCAAGACAAAGCCAGGCTGTGAGCATCATGTATGTGAGTTATCTTTTGGATAAAGAAACCAGCATGTATCCAGGATCTGCAAGGTGCAGCAGCAACAACCTGCCAGTGCAAAACTTTGTGTCTACTCCGTCCTATCCAGATTACATGGGATATCATCATGTGCCAGCTCTGGACACCCACAGCCAGCCCACGGGAACCTGGGGATCCCACTATGGCCCGCAGAGGGAGGACTGGAATGCTTACGGACCAGGACCTTCCGGCACGGACGGTGCTGCTCAGATCAATGGCTCGTCTCCTGGACAGGTCTCCTACGCTTCTGCTGATTACAGCTCCCTCCATCCCGCTGGATCTGGGGGATTACCTCCTGTAGATACAATTAATACACAGCAAATCTCTCCCAACAGCCAAAGGCACAGCTCTTATGAATGGATGAGGAAAACGGTGCAATCCACTTCCACAGGTAGGCGGGCCCGGAGGTTTTATGCTGAGATGTTACTTTCTTTGCATTGTTGGGGTGTTTTTGCCAGGTTCCCTCTTTAGAGGAAGTGTACAGTGTAACAAAGATAGATCCTAATTGCTCTGAAGGATTCTCTTGCTAGCAGATAAATATTGGTTCAGTTATTGGATGCTGGGTTTGATCTGCTCACTACTTCTTATATTTCTTGCTTGACCTCTAATACTGAGGCAAATGTAAAGTCTTTTGACAGGGAAGTATTTTCACTTCAGAGATGTTAAAAAAAATTGTGATATCAAATAATAGCTTTCAATAGGAGTCCTACAGACTAGAATGAAGCAGCATGTCTGCAGAAGGAAATCATGATCAAAGTATTGTATTTCACACCACCTCTACTTTACTTATTTTCCTCAAGTTTTAGAAGTATGTATGAAAAGTCCAAGTAAAACATATATAGTAGGGGGGGCTGGAAATAAGGCTTCATATTAGAAACAACTTCTCTAAACCTCAGAACACTGAAATGAGATCTGCAAGATCAAACAATGAGTCAATGCTCTAAACCCAGGAGTGATAAGGAAAGCCTTGCTTCGCTCAGTAGTAGTAACTCTAAGGATACGCGGGAATACAGAGATCTCTGGTAACACAATCAGTTAATACAGCCACAGCTCAGTCTCCAATGCATAATTCTTCAATTGTGTTTCAGCAGTAAAAGTAAGTCATGAAGCAAGAGGAAAAGGTTCTGTCTAATTGTCATGAGGAACAGTATTAAAAATATAAACATTGAGCATCCCTAAAACAAAAACCTGCACCTTGTATGAACAGGAAAATGATAGAAACAAGACAGGGGAGAAAGAAAAGAGGGAAAACTGCCTGAAAAGAACAGAAACCAAATCCACTATATAAAAGTATTTGATCCCCCAAGGTGCTGAGCAGCTTTGCCATGAGCTGAGATCAGTAGAAATTAAGGCTGCTCAATGACTCCCCTAAAGAGATGCTCACAGTATTCCAGTGTTACATCTCGGGAAGGTTCCTTTCCTTCCAGCCTTTCCTCCCACCCCAGCTCTGTTCCACACATGCTTGTAAATAATAGTTTTCAAAGCAAGCACTGAATCAATCTCTGATGGAAAAGCAATTGCTTAAAACAGACTTTAGAAAAACAAAAGTAACTGTATAGAAAAATTGTCTGTATTAAAACAATACATCTAATTTCTATAGACAGACTGAGTTATCCTCACTCCTGCTGCACACAACTTCAGTTCAGAGAGTCCATAGAAGTCAATAGGACAATCAGAATAGGTTGTTCCTCTGGCTGAATAGAATGTTGGGGGGGTGGAGAGAAGCAGTAAGTATTTTAAAATCACATTTGTTCCTCACTGAATACTCTCTGAGCAAAGACAAAAGATGCTGGTCTTGAAAAAAAAGCTTACTTTTACGTAGCCCTTACAAGGGCAATGGAATTAGTCACAAACTGTGATTTACAGATGGCAGAACCCTACAACCTCTCATCTCTTCTTTCACTGTGGGTTTCAACTGCAGCCTTTCAGAGAAAGGCCTGGTTTGACCTGTCTGTGCTGTCCCTTTTCTAGCAGGGTGGACACACTGCGAGATTTATACATCTATATATGAAATAGACAATACCACATTCTAACTGCCTGCTGCCTAAGAAACATGCTTAGGGCTTTCTAACCTTCCATATTTCAAGCCTGCACAGGGCAGAGCATTCATAGAAGGCGTTGGGACTCTATTCTGGAATGGGCCAACAAGACATTGAGCATCTTCAGTTCAGGAAGAGCTGAAGAAATCAGCATGTCATAGGATTGTATCCTCCCAAATGCCCACGGGCCAGCATAAAGCCCTCTGAAGTTAGTGGGAGGCCCTCTGAAGTTAGTGGGAGCCTATCATTCACTTAATGGGTACTGGGTCATGCTTTAGAGCAAATCCCAGATAAGGAATTGTCCTGCTGCTTCTTCCCCTCTTATTTTTATTTGCTAGGCCAGGAATGCTCCATGCCAATAGATCTGCTTCACTGGAGTCTGTTCCTTTTGCTGGCACATGATCAAACCCTTCAGCATTTTCTTAGATGGAATCATTGCTTTCTACTCCCTAAGGCTGTATGCACTGAGCACTACCCTCTGTCTCTTTGCAAACCTTTAGGACTGTTAGCAAAGGTCTTGTATAGGCAAGAGTGAAGGAATCACACCTATCATTATTAGCTTTTGTTATTCCCTGCGAAATAGATACGAGCCACTAGCCTTAAAGATGGACGAACTGAGGCTCAGACTTACTAAAGTCATCAGAACATGAATTAGACACATTGATTTTATTATTTGTTCATTACTTGCTGCAAAATACTAGTTATCAATAATAATATTATCTCACTATGGAAACAATAGTTATTAAGGCAAGTGATTTCTGTAAGGTATCTTGGAGGAGTGCTGGAGATGTTCCTGTACTCTTACCCCTTTAAGATCAGGAGGGATTCTTTCGAAAGGTTTACTTACATTGAGTAGTCTGATGTGTAGCAGCTACAGAAACAAGGCACAGAATCAGTGATGTTTCCATCTCCAGAGATTTCATGGTTTATATTCTCTTACTGGTGCTTTGTGGTGTAATGACCTGGCAGATGACAAACAAAACACTTGACTGAAATTGCTGCCACTGCCTCATGCCCTCCAGGTCTTTTGATACTCTGTTACCCACAACTAATCTGGAACAAAGGAAGAAATGGTTTCAAGTCTTACTCTGTAACTTTAAAAAGAACATCCAATGTAAACCCATGTCTTCGACTGGTGTTCAGTGAAGGGTTTGAGGTTATACTACTTGAAACTGGAAGATCTCAGTATTTAATGCCAGACTATCACCCTGGTTTAGTGGTACTGGAATGTGCTTCCTGCAGAAAAGATCTACTGAGGCTTTCATCCATCATTCTCTGGTTGAAGGATGTCTGAATGTTTGTCCCTGCAGCTTTGGAACTGGAGGGACTGGGACTTGATCCTAAACACAGTGCAGGTAGGATTCAATGCTTAGTCACTGCATTCTTGAGGGTGTTCAGGATACAGGAGAAAGCAAATGTGTTTTGACTCCAAACACCTGAAGGAGGAAACACTGACTACTTACTGGTTTCAACCAAGAACACAGATGGGAAAAGACCCTTCTCTAACCCTTACACTGCTCCTGTTCCCTCTCCTAAAGCCCCAGTTTGACAGGGCAAGCAAAGCCAAGACAACTAGCCATTGTAACAGAACAGAACAAAGCCACAGCAATTGGAGATTTGAGGTGGCAATTCCACATGCACAGAGCATAATTACAGGGAAATTCTTTGATGAAGAGTAGTACAAAATCACCTTAGAACAAGTTACAAATCTCTTCCTTTGATTTCAATGTATTTAAGGAGGTCTGCAGTCACTCATATAGGAGCAAACTTTACTTTTTGCCTTTGAGAGAAAACAACATACATCTGTGGTAAACCTGTGCCCAAAACAAAGAGCTGGAGCAGTTAAGTACCAGGCAGTTCCAGCAGCAATGAGAAGCTGCTCACAAAGCTGAAAGTACATCTTAAGAACTGCACTTCCGTGACCATAAAACAGGGAGGGAACAAGTTTTGAAACAGAGGTGAAGTGATTATGAGCAGAGACTTTCCCATAGGCGACAGCTCTCCTATCTTTATCATTCCATGAAAATCCACTCTGAAAATGTAAGACAGTTTTTCTGATGATGATGATGATAAGTGCTATAGCATCAGCATCAAATGTGCTCTAAACATATAGCATCTAGTCTTTGAAGGAAGAACTTACATTCCCTCAAACCTAAAGAGGAGAGACAAGCCTCTTAAGAGGCCATTCCTGCAAAATGCTGAATGCCTAAAGAATACACAACACTCGGAAAAACATTCAGTTATTCATTTGCTTTTTAGCCTATACAGTCCTTGGCAGTGGGATTTCCCCCATCTTGCCACCTGGAAATCCACCTGTATCTTTGCCAAACAAAATCCATACAGGGCAGTCTGTCCAATCCTTGTTTAAAGGTGATAAAAATGACTCTGCTTTAGAGTCAGTTACTTGTGCATGATGAAGATGAATACAAAAATTTATACTAACAAAGTGAAGGACAGGATTTGGCCAATGAGCTTTAGTACAGAATAGCAGAACACATTCAAAATTGTAAGCATGAGCATTTTGAATAGATGTCAACAGAAGAGAAGGGAAAATTCTTCAAGTCTGTTGAAAGGTCCCAATTCTATGATCCTATTCTGTTCTTTTCAGCGTGCAGCACAATGTCCATCTTCAAGATTTATTTAAAGTTACTTTTGCTTCACAACTTCACATAAATCAATGAAATTACACTAGGGAGAATGTGCCCTTTTCTCTTCCTACACTTCCAAAGTGCTTAAATATCTAGAGATAGTCCCAAAACAAAACTCAGGGGCATGACCTCTGACAGTCTGTATCTTTATAAACTCAAAAATTAACACTAATCTCTTAACACTAAATGAACATCAAGATGCAGATGTGAACTGAGCATGTCTTCAGGCCAGGCAGCTGATTCATGTTTCGAGCTGACTTAAGTGAGCTTCCAGTCCTCAAGTACAGACATTAACTTCCTCTGAAACGCTAAACCACAGAATCCAGATTACAGTCCTTTGTAAATAATCCAGCATCATCTGCTACTATTCTACACCACGACATCTCCTGTCTAAAGCAGGTAGCTTCTGGATTTTATGAGGTAGATGAAGAATATTCCTGCAAAGCTAAGAGTGGAGGCACTGAGAAAGGGGCCAGGGCTAGTTCTGATGCTAATTTATTTTGCTTTGTAAACTAGTTGTGAGGTCCGATGGTAGAGTTGAGGTTTTTTTTCCCTTTCCTGGCTACATTGTCTGAGGTTTTGAGGCCTATCTGTCATATTGAGGCAACAGACCCTTTTAACACTTCGCTTTGCTTTGATATGCAGTCTTGTCTCTTCCTTCTCCCTCTTTTCTTCAGGAGTTATATTGCCGGAAAGGGTGATGATTTTCACAGCAAATAAAGAGGCCTTCTCCCAGCTTTATTGTCTTCAGAAGAAATGCTCTGTGAATTTTATGACCAATGGGAAAGCTGTTCCCTTCCCCCAGCTCAAAACTTGGCCAGTCACAAAAATTGCCAGAGTGGATGTGATAGAACAGGATTGTTAAACTATAGCTCACGAGAAATTTCCCAACTCTGAAATGTCTCATTGCTTGCCCCTCCAGAGGCAATAGTCTTCAGTAGTCACTGTTTGCAAAATAGGGGTTTGACAAAACTCACTGTTCTTAAGCAGCTCATCAGGCCCAGGAAATCCACTCCCCCAACACAAAGGCAGTCGTACTGCAAAGGTGCTGCTTCAAAGCTCTTTTGTTTCTTTTTTCTTCCACCCGACTACTACTAACCTTTCCAACTTGCAATTCCATAGTATCTGCCCATGACAGAACACATTTCCAATAAAACTGACACTATACTGCCGATTAAAATAATAATGTCACTAACAAAAGATGAATCCAGATTGTAGGAAGTGAAACATTGGTAGTTTCACTCATCCAAGAGAGGAGGATTTGACTACAGAATTGGATTAAAATATTAACTTTTATCATTGCATTATTAAATTCTGCCATTACCTCCTAAAGAAGTTTGAGAAGTAAAGAACATCCTTCTGTTGTCTCTGGGGTGAACCAATTAGTCCTACCTTAAATTTTGTTCAGGTAATACTTCTCAAAATAAAATGTATCACTGTAAATAAGAGCAGTAGAAGATTGGGCTCAGAAGGCAGCAGAGTGCATCTATTCCATCCTACAGATGGAATTCAGAGGCTAAAGTCCTAAACTGTTTAGAGATAGCTTTTGTTGCTGCTGTTTGTTAACTTTGGCAAATAAAAGTGTACTTTGCCTCTGAAAGGAAATGCCATATGCAGCCTAATTCCAACCCAGCATCCAACAAAGGCATTAGGAAGACTCTCACTGACATCAATGAGGATTTGGGTGAAGGCCTAGCAGTCTAAAACAGGTCTCTGCCAGAATAAAAGCATCCTCTGGTAGACCCGGGCAGGTCTCAGCTTTAGGAACAGAGAAACCAGAGCAATGTCTGTTGTCTCTCTGCATAAAAAGATCAAATTATTAAAGACAAGATCTATGTGACAAATCAGAGAACTTTTCTCAGATTCTTGTTGACTTTCAGGAAGGAAATGTTCTCCTTTTGCCTTTCTACTTTCTGAATTGTTCTCTTAGCTTACTTTAAAGAAAGAAATTAGATGTGAAAGCTCCCAATCTTCCTTCAAAAAGAAACCAGATGTTACCATTTTTACTAAAAATAAACCAAAAGCTACACACACAAAAATAAAATATTTGATGAGAGAAAGCTCTGTTTTCCACACACATTTAATTTCTTCTTCAGTTTAAAAACCAAAAAGCCCAACCCTCTCCTGCTCAAATAACAGAGGTTGAAGCACTTCAAACCAGAAACAGGAAGGTTTAGCTTGAAGTTTACCACCTTGTTTTGGCAATAGAAGAACATTCCATATTTGTCTATGGCTTCTGAATGAGAATAGAGCTCAAGATAAGATCACCTTGTTGCTCTTTTGTGTACTCCAACTTAACACCACAAAGGAGATTAAGGAAACATTTTAAACATTTTCTCCCATAAAATGACCCCAGATTCTCATTTAAAGAGGGAAAAAAAGCCCAACTAAACCACCGAGCTAGAGATCAAAAATACCAAGTGAGGCATTAAAGCACCACGGGTGACCATATGTTAAACAAACAATTTACACTTCGAATGAATGAAAACAAATGTCCCGGTATTTATGTGGCCTGAACTGAGTAACTGCTCTTCTTTAGAGACTCTCAGATTCTTCCCATAATGTTGTAAAATTAACAGCACTTTTCACTCGATTATCAGTGTAAACATAATGGGGCTCATTCTGCTTTCACTGCAGTTTCGCAAGACAGAAATGCCACTGAAATGAGAATGTTCCAACACATCATCTGCCCCAGCCAAGCAGCAGAACCTTCAGAGGGAAGGCACAGTGGTTTTGCCTGCATGGCTGGAGCAGAAACCCCAGTGCAAGGAACACACACAGACATGCACACGCCTATTTTTCCCATTGGATTTCCTCAAGCCCACAGCATTGTAAACGCTCTGTTAATGCATATGCTTTCCCAGGGATGAACACCATGGAGCATAGAAGCTGAGTGATCAAATTCTGATGTAGATCTTGTTCTACAAGCCTGGGAAAAGTCCTAAAGAGTCCAATAGGGTGAACCAGTTGTTATCCACAACCAGTATCACACTGACCAGGACTTCCAGTGCTAAACAAGTCTGTATTTAGGATCTACACAAACAGTTCAAAAAGGATCAGAGCTTGAATAAGCGTCTAATGCAAGTAATACTCTGGGGAGCTAAGAATTCTTCTAAGCAGCAGAGTACTGACTGTCAAATACTGGAAGAAAAAAAAAAGTGATGTGGCTCTCAAGCCACTACCAGCAAGTGGAAGGCAATGTTAGCTTTAAATATGTTCAGCTATTGAACAAGGAAACATCACATCTCCCTCCACAGCTGTAAAACCAAACCATGAATCGAGGGATAAAGTACTTTAAAGATTCTGCTATAGTTCTGTACCTTGAATTCTGATCTTTTCTGATGTCAAAACTTCAAAAGCAAGGGGAGTTTGGAGGAGGGGCTGTGAAGAAATAAGGCTTTTGCCACCACTGATACAGGAAACCTCCAGCTTTTCTCTCCTGGAGGGGAAGGTGGTTGCTCTGGGGAGCTGTGCTGTGGTCATCTACTCAGAGACTGCAATTTTACTAGCTTAGTGCCTAAAAATTTATTTTGGCCCTCTCCATTCAAAATTAACTGCTCTTATGAGGAGCATAATTATTATATCTTCCAAAAACTGATTCCTCAAACTCATAAGTAAACATGAGCTGCTGTATGAAGTTAAGCTGCAGCTGCAGCAGGCTGCTCAGGCAGCAAGCTACAATATGCCTCGAGTTTTCTGCATCACTGGAGAGAACCTGAAGCTAAGAGGGCTTTTCTACTGCAGCGACCACTAAGGACACAAAGATTCACAACCTCCACTACCACGGTGGGACTCGCTGCAAAAAAATACCAACTGAAAATGCATTCCCTGTCCTAGACAATTTACAGCCTAATCACACACATCTGCAGAGATGTTCATGCAAATACAGACAGAAAGAAGCACAAAAAGTCTAAGACTGTAGGTAGCTGAGATGGTAACACTGGTCTTAACTCAGCAATGATCCCATCTTTCAGAAATGTAGGAAGCCCTTAGGCTGGGCTCCGGAGCCTTGGCTTTAAGCAGGTGGTGAGCTCTGCTGTATTGATTGCCTAATAGGAACATTAACAGCCCAGGAGAGAGGGGTGAGAGGAAGCACCCGGAGCCTTTCCCATTCTCAATTCTCTTTCACTGCTCCCAACACATTCTGTCCTCAGAAATTATCCTGTATGGAACCCATAAAATTTCAGCTCCTTGCATCTGTGTTCACTGGCTCATGTCATTTGCCATTACCTTTAATGGCCTGGGTACTGCTGAGCCGTGTCCAAGTCACTCAGCTGTACCCACAGCTGAAAGGATGCAGCAGAATGCTTGCAAAAGAACAGATGCTGTAGCTCTATCATTGTTCAATGTCCTTTGTAAGGTATTTATTGCTTTCTTTTTCTCTTTTCTATTAACTGTCATCTGGAAATCTATATTGCTATCCCCTGTGCAATTATCAAGTTGTGGATAGACCATGCCAAGCTTGAAGGAAAAATACAACCTCCAAATTGCAGTAACAATCACAGTACCATATTAATTTTTCTGGCAACAAGAAGTGAGGAATTCTGGAAGCTCTCAGTATTTTCTGTACAGTAAGATGTCCTTCAGAGTTACCCTCTCTAGCAGGTAGTGGTGTATCAGCTTTAGGGACAGAAACCAGAGCAACTCAACACCAGTCAGGAAGCTTGCACCAGAGCTGGGAACAGAACCCAGGTTTCCTGGCTCCTTGTTCTTAGCCAGAACACCTTCCCTTTTCCCAAATGATAACATAACTGATAAAGAATATGAGAAGCAGTGTATCTATCTACTAAGGGGCAAACCCAAACCCTGATGGTATCAACCTCCTGTGTTGTAAATTGAGACTGAATGGAGTTACTCTGGGTAAGTGCATAGAGAATCAGGTCTAAAATACCCACAAACCTATTTCTCATTGTAAAGCCAGATATCTTGTGTTACTAAAGTTAAAAACATTCTAGCTTGAAGCAATGTGTTCTTCTTTCAAAACAGGTAAAACAAGAACAAGAGAGAAGTACCGAGTGGTTTACACAGATCATCAGAGATTAGAATTAGAGAAGGAATTTCATTACAACAGATACATTACAATCAGGAGGAAGTCTGAACTTGCTGCAAACCTAAGACTTTCCGAGAGACAGGTAGAGTATGGATCACCCATTCAGGATTTCCTTTGCATTTATTATTGCTGAGGAGGAGATAACCAACCCTATTGGTTAACACCACCAAAAGCACTCGCAGCCTTGGTTACACTCAGATCTAAATATCCCCCAGCTCTCGCCAGGGAGCTTTGCAACAACACAGAGCAAACACCAGTCTCACACACAGTCCTGTTCTGAGAAACAGGAGTTCTAAAATGCCAACAGAATCCTGCCCCAGTTTCTCTCTGGTTTTCTGGGGTAGTGGCAGCAGGGAAAAGGTTTTGCTGGAATTTCTAAAACAGAAGGCCTGGTCCCGCTGGGAATTCTGTAACCAATCCTGACAAAGTCAGTCTTAGCAGAGAATGGCAGTGAGTTCATGTATGTTTAGGACTCTTGAAGGTGTTTTTCTTTGGCTGCCTTTCACTTCTTGCTAAAGATTTCCTACATACTCACTACTCCTTTCTCCTGCCCCTATTTTCTCCCATCCCCTCCAAATTCCATTTATATTCCCACAATGTAAATCAAAACACAATCCTTTCTGATCGAAGGATACACATAATTTGTTCTGGAACCACTTGGTGCCACGTTCTGAGCATATGTTCAGTCCCATTTTACTGGGAACCTCCCTGATGCAGCCTATTGAAGCAAGAAGCAAACAGAACATCAAAAGCTTTACTGAAGGATCCCCAGGAACAGATTTCAGGACACAACGTGCTCATTTGCTGCCTTTGCTATTTGCAAACCATCACAGCACTGGTTTCCCAGTCAGTTGTTACTCAGTATCATTCATTGAAGATGCTGCCCATTGATTTATGGGATCTACTGGGAGGGACAGTCCAAAAATCCACCCAGTTGTAGTTCCTCCAACTTGAGCTTGTCTGACACAGCACACACTGAAAGAGCTCACAGAGAAGCAAATACTCATTTTGCAAATAATTCTCAATCTACTGTTGAATAGGACTATTTCATTATTGAAAATTTATATTATTGCAATCAAGTATATATAGTGGGGAAACTTGGCAACAGTGTTTGCAGTATTTGCTCTTCATCATCATCAGTATGTCATGAATGAAATTAATTCCAGTCTCTGAAGTCACTATTGAATATGTAAGATTAATACCTGATCTATAGTCCCACTACTACCCTTTCATACAAACTGAACAACTTCATCATATGAGTAAGGCTGAACTGTAACCGTCCTATCCCAAGATCCACTGTATTCAGCCTAAAACCTGAAATGATTTTCTGGAGAAGCTTTTTTCCTGCCTACGCCAGGAAAAAAACTCACATCCAGAACACTGGAATGAATCTCTCAAGACAAAAGGACAACTGTTTGAACAAGGAAGGAAAGATGTAGTATCTAATGAAGGAAAAGAAAAGGCAAACCCAAGCCTTGCTAATATAGCAGGGATGCAGAAATAAAGGACATGCTGAGGACAAGAAGGAATAGGGAAAGCTGGACTTGAGGGTAAGAACTACACAACTGAACACTGAAAGGAAGGAGGGGCAACAGGTAAAGAACAAGTTGGGCAGATATACCTGACCATGTTAGCTTTTAGTCTAGCATTAGAGAGCTGTATTTACTTGAAATTCTTTGGTAACTGGCACACAGCCTTGAAGTGCCTACTACAGCTCTCTCTGGATCACTGCTGCAGATCTGCATCCCTGATTTAATAACAAACCAGAACCAAAACCTAGATTCAGGTGAGAACACTCAGGCACACACAGCAAACGCACGGGTGAAACCAGCTTACCTCAGCACAAACCGAATGCAGGAGAGTACTTGAGACTGCTTTAATGGAACGTGATTTAGGACTGAACTGAGATTCCAGAAACTAAGAGCACAATATTAACTGCCAAATGTCTCAGATGACAGCCTGGGACTTAAGAGACCTAGTTCAAATTCCCACAAGCTTTGCATGCATCCAAATTCCTCAGCTCTAAAATGGGAATAATAATGTCTTGAGGATAAGTACACCAAGACTGTCCCAGAGACTCCTTAAGATGTTCTGTGGGACTTCCCCAGTGGTTTTCTTTAAAGCACAGTTTAGTAGTCACAGATGTTATCACCTCTTACTCTCTTATCTCCCCTCTAAGCATTGATCTCTTCCCCCTTCTATCTTCCAGCAAAGGCTACAAATCAGTACTTCTCAGCAAACCATTGCTTTCTCTTTGGGTTGTAGAAAATGGTGACAAAAGTGTTTCCTTTGCTATCCAACCACCAACAAGAAAACACAACATATCCAAATGAGGTAGCTTGACTTATTACACCAAGTAGACACAATTCAGAGCCACTTTGAAGGATAAATAGCTGGTGTGGAGTGCTATTCACATCCAAAGCCATTTCAGTTGCCATAGAACATTCACCCTCTCACATCTCAACAAATTCTGCTGTATTTTCAACTGACCATTACTCATCAACTTCATCTCACATCCTCATTTGTTCTGTCCTAATCAAAACCCATACACTCTTCAATAGTTGCTCCATGTCTCACGAAGACAGGTGTGATAGAGCAATGACTGCAGTGTAAAAGCACTGCCTAGTGTGGGAAGCAGCAGCAGATTCTGACTCCATCTAGAAATGCAGTAAAAGGCACTTGGCTATTAAGGCACCACTTGGACAGTATTTTGAAGTAACATTATGTCCCAAGAGCAGTGCACTGGTGCAATTCTGCTCAGAAGTGTATTTCCATTGGCTCACACGCTGGAGCTAAGCAATTAACGTGCAGCATCCAAACAGCAAAGCTCTTGTGCCTCAGTTTATCAGAACAGGTTTTAACTTGCACATACAGCTTTCGATATAAAGATACTCTCAGATTCTTTTGGCCATCACTGTGACACATGAAACTGTTCTGTTAGCCTGTGTAACAAAAAAAGAAAAAATAAAAATCCAAAGCTTATTCCATAAAGAAATACCTTCTAAAAATAAAATGAACACTGAAAACTTTTTATCAAGGTATTAATAAATGTTGTATTACTGGAGAGGACAGATTACCTAGATGAAAACCAAGCAAACAGCCCTGGTGTCCCAGTTTGCCACTGCCTTTCTCACTGGTGCTCTTGCTATTGATTTTACCTTTGACCTAGCTAAAGGGCCACATTGCATTCTATTAGCAACTGAAAAGAATTTCCTTTGCTCCTTTGCAGGTGAAAATCTGGTTCCAGAATCGCAGAGCCAAGGAAAGAAAATTAATGAAGAAGAAAATGACTCATTTTGATGGCAACAGCCTTGGCTCTATGCAGAGTGACTCTGGCTCAGTGAGCCCAATGCCAGTTCCTGACCAACAGACTCATTCAGAAATGCCCAGTTCTTTATTCCCACCTCCTCCTCCTCCACCTCCACTTCCCATGAATGGTCTGCAGCAGGACGGGAATCTGCAGCAGGTAGTGGCCTCTCAGTAAGGCTGCTGGAAAAGCTGCTGCATAATGAACACTATAAACTACCGGTACATGGAGCACTACAGTATAAGAGAGGACAGCTGTAGCTGTTTTGCAGAAGTCCCCAGCATGACATGGATTCGTGCACATAAGCTTCCAGGACAGTAAGCCAAGAGCTCCTTGCCAGGTCTGCAGGGTAGCTGGAGTTCCCAAGGACAATGGAGCTGCTGTGCGCCAGGAGCCCTTGCTGCAGGGCACCTCTGCCAGGGGATGCCATGCCCAGCCTGCACCCCCAAGGCACAGAAAGGAGAGCCAGGACCACCTACAGCCACTTGTTACAGGACACTGCAGACAAAAAAGCACAGAATGGGCCCCAGGCAATCCAGCATTGCTGAGGGCAGCTGTAAGGGGGTGCTCTGTCTGTCCCTCGCCCCAGACAAAGAGTGTATTCCTTCTCCTTTGATCTCCACACAGGTTCCATGTACTCACTTTCATGGACTTTACACATAGATCTTGATAAATGAAAACCTGGCCTATACATTCTGACCCACTTGATGGAAAGCCTGGGTCGTGGTGGTTGCACTCACTACATGTTAGGGGCAAAGGTCAGGGATGAGCTTTTTGGAATTTTCTGGGTTTGACAAGTATGATTTCCAATGCTCCATACACTGGTATACACATGCACTCCTCAATCTTACCACAGATGTTTCAAAAGCATTCTGGAATTGTGACTTTTGCCCCCAAGTTTGGTTTTGGTGGAGGAAAAATTGTATCAGGCTCATTTTGTATTCTACAAAAGAAAGGAAAGAACAAAGGGGAGGGGGGAACCCTGTTAAAAAGCAAAGGTATTTTAAAAAGTAGCTGCATTTCATGGGGCAGCACAGCCCATAGATAAAGATGCAATAACTGCATTCAACTGGTTTTACATTCAGCCCAGTTTTCAGAGCTATTGTGGCACTAAAAATGTCTGAGAAGCCAAATTAATGGAAGACCAAGCAAACAAATATTTCAAATATAAGCTCTGAGCAGTTTTTCAGTGGGTCTCAGTTCCCAAGGGCTGATCCCTTCCACACTAAGCAGAACCCTGTAGGTAACCAGTACTTAAGCATAAGCTGGATACTTACTTCCCAACATGATTACCAATTGCATGTGCATAACTTGTCTGCAAAGGGAGAATTTTCAGAGCACACAAGTGATTTGGGAATTGAAACCCTCATTGTCAAAAGCAGTTCAGATATTTAGGAAGCCCATCCTCACTGATTTTCATCAGGGTGTCCTCCTAAATCTGTCTGCCACTGTTGCAAGTAAGACTTAGGAGCTTTAAGTCATTTAGGCACTACGTTCTTTTTTATTTCTTTAATTATAACAAATAGTACTATTAGAGCATCAAAATGTTGGTAATGTCAAATTACTTTGTTATATAAAGAGCATTAAAATAAATGACTTTTTTCATAATCATTTTCCAATGTGGTATCAGCTACTGTAGCAAGTGACCATGTAGACTGTTCCTGTTAGTCTGTTAGTGAATTTTAGTATCAAATTTAAAAGCAAGGTGATGGTAAAAAAAGCTTGCAAGAAGTAGAGGAGAACGGCAAGACCAGGATGGTTCAGGGAGCTGGCAGTTTTCACTACTTATTCATTTTATTTAGCATCTTATGGTTGTGAGAAGGACAGCACTAAGTAAGTCTAAACTTCAACTTTGAATGGACACATCCCTGCATTGTACAATCCCCACTTTCACAATGCTGCTCCACTTGCTGGCAAGAGCAGCCTGAAGGTTTGCACAGGTAGTACAAATGAGAAATTCCAAAGTTCAGCAACAGAAAGGCTCCTACTCACTTCCACATATTACGAAAAGCAGAACATGACAAAGAGCAAGTTGGAACAACAGTGATTTACCACCCGTGCTGATGAGCATGGCAACCAAAGCAAACCACTGGTTTCCCAAAAGATATATCCATTGGGTATGTCCAAAAGAGGAATCCACTGAAAATACCCAGAACAGCCGCTCTGCCTACAGAGGGAAATGCTAGAGATATTTTACCTACAGTCTGTGTACATATACATTTAACTTCCCAGAGACTGAAAAGCATCCTCACATTGGCCACTTAAACAGAATTCTGCTTGCAAACTAGAGAAAAATCAGTAACAATGTCCACATTTAGATTTTCAGAAGGTAAGAATACAGAAGGAAACTTGTCTTTTGTACTGTAATTTAGGACTCAGTTCTAGCTAAGTGCACAGAACCCTGACCACAGGGTTGTGCAGGATCAAGTTCACAGCTACCTATTTTAAACCCATTTCCATGATACAGTTTAAATTCGTATTAGAATTTTAAAAAGAAAAAAGTCCTTCAAGAAAGAACCTGAAGAAATCTCTCTGAATCCAACTTCTTTCTCGTTAAAATTATTTAAACATCATTCAAAGAGAGAGGGATCTGGCAAAACGACCTGGTTTATCTTGTTTACATGTAGAAGAGTTATAGAGGAAGATAAGTGACCACTTTGAAGATGTGCCTCATTTCTGCTCCAGTTTGCTGAGAGCATGCTGGCTATAGGTTGCTATGTGTTTCCAATCAGAAGTTGTTAAGTACACAAAATAAGGCTGGATTTTATTTGCAGAAGCACATGTTCAAAGGTTAAAATTTACTGCTCCAAAAGCAGTATCTATAAACCAGGGCAATACCTTAGAGATTATTAACCTTCTAGTTACACCAGTGGTTCTTTAAAGTAGTTCATTTTATTTCTTTTTTATCTTACCAGCAATCTATTCAACTAAATATTTTCAGTGTGCTTTAATGCTTCAGTTGATCACCAAGACCAAAAGAAAAATATTTTATTGTATTGTGTATAATTAAGAATGAGATACAAAATTGGAGCCAAAACCACTGATGTTATTTCGGTCCAATATTGAGAGTCAGGAAATACTGGTGCCAGTCCTCAGAGTAAAACTTACTTTCTTCCTGACTTTGGGTATATCATATAACCTATCACTTTTTATCACATCTAAAACCTAGGGACACTAAAGCAGAGTTGCTGTGGAGATTGATTGGTTGTTAGCAAAGTGCCTTGAAGAAGAAAAGCATACTTTAGACAACATCACAAGAGTATCTAAGCCCTTAATCCTAATTGTGATTAGAAGAATGATCAAGGTATATCCAGTTTTCAGAGGAGTTCACTAACCTTTAAACCCAGCTACCCAGCAAGAACTGTGTTCTATACGGTACAAAAAGATCAAGAAGGGCACAGCAAATGGGACCTTCTATAAAAACTTAATGCAACTGAGAGTCACAATTCAAAATGACATTTCTAAAACAAAAAAACTTTATACATACATTCTGGATGTTAAAGACCATACTCCTACTTTAGCACCCTTATTGAGGCTGCTGGTACAGTACAGGCTTACTCCAACCCAAGCTGACATGTCCCTTGAAATGACTTACACAGCCTGTCACATCTTGGACTGGCCCTAGATAATACTAGTTAGACACTATCCTGTGCAAACCTCACTAGGTAAACGAATAGGCACAGGTTTTAGGATGAAAATGTTTGCCAGCTGTTTTCATTCTCAAAGAGCACAAATATTTTTTGTGTATTTTGTAACAAACTCTGTTCTAAGAGATATCACAATAAATTGAGAGACTTCATTAAGATATAACCTGCATGTTCTTGGTCTTCTAAATCCAAGTAAAACACAGTCACTTGCAGGCAGGACATACACAGACAATAATCTCTCATCTGGGAGTATGAACAAAGAGTTAAATATGTATAGCATAAATGCCAGTCTACCAGGAATATAAACCATGCTTATGGCAAGGATGGCAAACAGTAAAGGCAATCAATTCCTTTGTTGCCTCATGAAAGAAAGACCGCAGCAAAGAACACCTCAGACTCACAGTGAGCACCCCATAATGCCATCTAGCCACACTGCTGGGCAAGAGCTCCAGTAAGGTGGGAGCCTTGTGCTACATGACTCAGGAAGGAAACCGAACAAATGTCAATAGAGGATTTGCTGTTCATTTTCCTGGTTCTGCTGAGAAGAATCAATTTAACCTGGAGTTCACCTGCAGGCTCTGCGACTCTGCTGTATGAGCTCTGCTGCTTCAGCGGTAAGATGTACTCTTATTTTGTACTGATTTTGTAACAGACTTTACATTATTTAGATTTCAGAATAGTAAGACCCTTCTTTAGCTCCAGACCATTCTTTCCTCACAAAGGCAATACTGATCCAGATTACATATTAAATATATTGTTGCTATGTTTAATAAAATGCAAAAGTTACCATTAAGAAATGAATGGTTTGTCATTGTTAGCAGTAGTTAGAAAACCAGTAGAAGAATAGAGAGAAGGGTAAATCCAACAGCCATACTTCCAACAAGTCACTTTTCATCATTTTTCAAAACGATTTAATAGCCAAAATTTCAGAGCACAAAATTAAAATGCAAGCATTGAGGAAGGCTTCCTTTACAACTGACATTATTCCTTCTGCTGTTGTTCTCTTACAAGAAACAAATACACATTAGGGATGAGACACATGGTGCCAAACTGAAACTTGCAACATCTCCCTTTCTCTTTTCCCCCAGAAGAGTTCAGTCCAGTAAATGAGAATGTTTCAGCCAGCATCCCTCACTCAGCTCTCTGGGTTGTCCCACATCTGTCAAGACAGATATGATTTCGACGTACTTGCAATTCAAGCCCAGAAAATGAGACCTAACTTGGGTGTCTGCAACACCAGGGTACTGCATATTAAACCAGCCTCATTAAAGAGGGTAAATGCAATTTTTGGAAGCTTTGTGTTTGTGTAAGTTCAGTGAAAGCAAAAGCTGTCTCTTTAGCTGGGTGTTTCACATTTTAAACCCATCTCCCTGCCTTCATGACTAGCTGGATTTTATTTCCAGCAGAACTGACCTCAGCTGACAGCATGCCACTGACTGCCCTTTCCTCAAGATTTATATAGCTGACTAGGAGTTTTCGGAGGAATGGGTGTGCACGGAAAGTCCAGCTTGAAAAAGGCTCAATAACATC